TGCTTTGTTTCTCGACATGTAATTAAATAGGTTCTACACAAATTAATAAAATTCAATCTCAACTATAATGAGTACTTTTATGTAGTTTAGATAAGGATGAAGAAGGAATAATAATTGAAGAATGAAATATTGACGTATGATAGGGTCTCACCTTTATTTTACTGCATCTCGTCCTAATATTAAGTCTATTGTTTGTCTGTGTGCTCATTTTTAAGAAACCCCAAAGAATCATACCTCTCTATCGCCAAACACATGATGAGGTATCTCACTAGCACACCACTTATGAGTTTATACTTTAGTTGGGTACTCTTATTCAAATTTCTTTAGTTTTAAATTGGATCATAAAAATACTAGTAGTACATGTCATTTGCTTGGAAATTTGATTCTCTCCTAGTATAGCAAGAATCAAGTAAGTGTTGCGCTATCCATAGCTTAAGAAGAATGTGCCATTGTGGATAGTTATTGTTTGCAAGTTATTTGGATGAAACAACAATTAAGTGATTACATAGTTAATCTCGAAACTATCTCCATAAATACGACACACTAACACCATAAATTTCACTCCCAGACTAAACACACCGAAATTAGACACTATTTTATTAGAAGTAAAGTAAAAAAAAATCATAATTAAATTTGTATCTTCATCTGATTAGTGGACATACACTTTTACAAAATCTCTTCCTAAAAGAATTTCTTTTTCATAAGAAATTAACTAGAAATCTTAAATCAATCATTCATGTAACACATGCTATATTCAATTGATGTCAAAAGCCAAGTAAACATATATGACTTTATCAACATTTTTTTTTAAATTAAGAAATTACGAGCCTTGCCAGTTACCAATGTTGACAAAATAGAAAATGCACTTCCATTAGCAGCGTTAGCAAACATATAATTTTATGCTCAACGAAATTGATATTTTGTGCTGGAACTATCATTAGCTTATGTTAAAGAGTATATAATATAATATAATATAATATAATATAATATAATATAATATAATATAATATAATATAATATAATATAATATAATATGATATAATATAATATAATATAATATAATATAATATAATATAATATAATATAATATGTGAAAGGGAAAGATTTATCTATTGTTTTATTTATAAATACATGTTACATTTACAACACAAATTTTTGGATAGTTTAAATCTAATAAATTAAGATAAAATAATATTAATAATAAAAATAAATTTTAAGAGACAATAATTAAATATATGAAATTATATGTCCAAAAATAAACAAGTCATATCAATGTCAACTATGGACAAGAAGTTGCCCTCTAAGAATTACATCACACAGAAGGATCACCAAATTAGATCTCAACCAACTGCACCATCAACCCGAGATCAAATACAACCAAGAGAAGTACAAAGAGCCACAAACACTTTAACCCACACCAAAACATCGATACGATATTGCTTAATTCAGAAGATAAGATTCTGAAGTCATTCAGTAAAGTTTCAAGAGTTCTCCACCGAACTTCCCACAAATCATTTCCAAGCTAAAAAAGTTATTTTCTCCTCCACTTTATTCTCATTTGTAAAATTAATAGAAAAAAACAATCTCATTTCTAACCCTCCAAATGGTCCAAACCACATCATGTCAGACAATAGAAAAATAACCCATACACTTCGTCTTACCTCTTAAAGAAAGGAAACTCTCAAAGAGAAGACTAGGATCTCTAGGAAGGACTATTTACCACCCCTAACCAGTTTAAAATACTATCTCAAACATTGTTAACTAAGTCATAAGTAACAAACAAGTGAGAAGTTGACTAGACAAAATCACCACAAATAGGTCAAGCCGTGAAAACAAGGTCAACAATCATATTTCTCTTGAATAAATTTTCTCCAGAAGGAAACCTATCAAGGAGAAGTTGCAAAGAGAAAACAATTACCTTAGGAGAAATTATTTGAATAATTAAATGAAGTTAAAAAAGGATGATAAGCGAATGAAACAGAGAAAATATTATCCCTAGAAAACTTACAAATACATCTATGTATGTCTAGGGACAAAATATGACCTCGAACGACCAAAAGGTATTCAACAACAAGTTCCTCATGAACAAAGAATGTCCTCCTTCACCTGAAGTCTTAAATAAGGGTCTCATCTACCCATCAACCTACCTCTCTTATACTCCCCTCAAGATAATCAGTGATCCTAAACAACCTAGGGAACCTATTCTAGAGTGGGGATACTTCTAACTCAATGCTCATTTCAAAAAGACATCTAGAACACAGATCCAACTTTCCTAGTGATACAGTCCATGAACCAGTCATAAGAGCCTTTCTTCTTAGAACCAAGAAGAGAAACTCCTTTCCACAATGAAGAAGAATTCTAGACGCCCAAGTATCTGTCACCCCTTAAAAAGAGACAATAAATGCATCATATATGAAAAGAAGGATATCTCTCAAAATACTAAAAGCACCCGAAATAAGTCTCAACCTCCACTTAGCCAAAAGAGCTAAATTGACCAGATGAGGTCTCAAACCTCCAAACCACCTTTACTATTAGGTTTACAAACATTGACTCATTTAACCTAAGAGAATCTAGAGTCTCCCTTAACACCTTCCCACAAAAACCTTCTTTGGATCATAACTATATTCCTCCAAACCTTTACAAATAATTTTAGAAAAGACAAGAAGAAAATAAAGATAATATTAAGCACATAATTGAGAAAAACTGCCCGCTCCCTAAACTAGCATACATGTGATTCTAGATATTAAGTCTCTTAGATAATATATTAACAAGGAAGGTCCCAAGTAGCTTCACAACTAGGAATAACCTTGACAAGGATCCTAAAATATTTAAAAGGAATGGTATAAAGTTTACAGTCAAGAAAATCATTAGTAGAATCTGAAAAAACAGGGTCCACATTAATTCATATTAGAATAGTCTTAAAAAAATTCACCCGGAGGCCCGAAGCTAAATCAAAACTCCTAAGAATACCCTTTTATAGTCCAAAGATTCTCAACATATGAATTTGCTAAGATAAGAGTATAATCTGCATATTGAAGATGGAAGACCATCAAATCCAAGGCTTCAATCCTAAATCTAGAGAGAATACCAAAATTAATGGCCCTACTAACTAAACCACATAAACCTTCAACCACAAACAAGAAAAGAAAATGAGGTAGTGAATCCCCTTGCTTTAGACTCCTTAAAATATTAATCTCTTGAGTTGGACAACTAGTAACCAACACCGTGAGATTTCCAGCAAAAACACAAGATCTAACCCAAGACCTCCACTCAACATTAAACTCAAATATGACAAAGCATATATTTCATAAACTCTCGACTCATTATATCATACACTTTATCAAGCTTTCTAGATTTCTTAGCCAGATTGATTATTTCATTCACGACTACCACTCTATCCACCAATAATTTATCTTTTATAAAGGTAGAATAATTTCGGGAGACAAGATTTTTCATTACCTCCCCCAGTCTAGCAACCATCTCTTTAACCACTAACTTAGATAAATATTGAATAAAACGGCCTAAAATCACTTAACAATAACATATTTAACCTTAAGAATCAAGGTTATAAAGTAAGAAACAAAATTATGAGATAAAGAAACAAACCAATAAAATTGATTAAACATAATTTAAACATCTTCCCAAAATAAATTCCAAAACCCTCTAAGAAAACCACTAAAACGAAGACTCTTGTTACCATCGTTCAAAGATACAATACCATTTAACTCATGAAGAGTAAAATAAATAGTTTGGGCAAGATTATCCTAGACAGAAAGAAATGAAAAGACTACTTCATTCAGGGGAGGTGTATCAAAATTTGACTCCTTATAAATCTCAAAGAATAATTGAAAAGATTTCTTGCCTAAATCTTAGACACTCCTTTCAATTAAACTTCTCTAATCTTCGATGGTAAAATAACAATCTTCTTACTTTTACTATTGACAAAATCATGAAAGAAATTAGAGTTCAAATTGCCTTCCATAAGTTTTTGAATTTGAATTTTTCAATAAGCAAAACAAATCAAACATAAGTAAAACAAAATTAAATCCTTATAAATCCGCATAACATATAGAACAAAATTAAATCTTTATAACTTATTCTCAACAGTAGATATGTTAAAAAATATAAATTAGATTCATTGTTTAGTGACTATATAAGTTTCTAGACTTTTTCTTAACAAAACATTAAACAAAACGTTCAAATTCTTCTATAATTAGTAAAAAAGTCAACCGTGTCCTATTTTTTAAATTTCTTTATATATATATATATATATATATATATATATATATATATATATATATATATATATATATATATATATATATATATATATATATATATATATATATATATATATATATATATATATATATATATATAAGTGATTTCAAATAAAATATTAATAAAAATACATGTTAAAAAAATTAATATTCCCTTCATCTTAAAATAAATATGATTTTTATAAAAATAATTGTTTTATAATATTTATTATTTTAATTATTAATGTAATTTTATATTTAGTCTTTTAATTATATTCTCTAATAAATATTTTTAATTTATTATTTATTTATTTAATATTAATATTAATTTAAATATATTAATAAATCATCAAAATAATTTAATAAAATATATATTTTTTATTTATTATTATTTTTAATTCGTATAAAATAATTAATTACGATAAATAATAGACCATATAGAACTGAAAGAGTGCTGAGATATTGATAAAAAAATTATTTAATAGTATATGTGATCAAATCTATGAAAAAATTCAGATGCAAAGTAGGAAGCCATGTGTGTTTGTCTGGCACCACCATGTGGTCATGCAACTATGCAATGTTCTGTTCTTGTTATTATTTAATATATATTTAACTTTAACTTCATTTTTCATTCATTATAAATAAATATTTCTGACTTAGTGGTGGTAAGTTTTAGAAAAAGTATAGTCACACACTCAGAGAGGTTATCTGTTCTCCGGTCACCGGATCCCGGCCGGAGGAATGGAGGTTTCTGATCCGAATGCATGTTTGCCACCAGGTTGGACTGTGAAAGTAAATGTGAGAAAGAATGGTAAGATAGACAAGGTAATATATTCTAGTCATTGAAAGTTTGACTTTTACTGTGACCATCCAATGATCTTTCTTTTTCTTAAATGTGAGATCATGTGATTTGGTTCTGTTTTGTCAAAGATTGAAAAATGTTGTGTCTCTTATTTACTGATTTACACATGGCCATAGTCTTGTTGGGGTGTTGGCATGTTTTTTTTATTTATTATTTGTTGGTATAAATGTTGCTTTATGTGGATGTGTCTTTGCATGTTCACTTTGGAATGTTTGGACTATGTTTTCAACAAATCCATGCTCTTCATTGATGTTTTTATTTTAATGGGGGATAGTAAATGTAGTGTGTTTTTTGTGCAATTATATGATGAGCCTCAAAGTTATTGAATGTAGGTTCAACTTGTTTCTGATGTTAATGTGAAGATATTTTTTTATGAATAATTTGTTTCTAATGCTAGTGAGGATATTTTTGTAAAAGAAATGATGAAATACAAACACTAGAAACAACATTGCCACGTGGACACTAATAATAATAGGTGATTGATGCAATTATATTTGTCGGAGTCTTGAAGTCGTGTTGGTGTCTGATGTATGATGTCTTGGTGTCTGATGTTTTGGAGTCGTGTTGGTGTCTGATGTCTGACACATAAGATGATTGAGCTCAATTCTTATTGTATATATTGCAGTTTTACTTTCCCCCTTCAAGTGATCGGAAATTTAATTCCCTAGTAGGCGTATTTCGTTATCTAAACGATGCTAAGAACAAAGCCAGCATCCAAAGAGTCTCAAGCATAGAAAGTCATCAACAGATTCCTCGACGTGCATCAAAGCGTCTTGCTGGAATTAAGGCCGATCCACTTCTAGAACTTAAACCAACTCGAGCACGTCGAGACATAGTGAAACAATCAGATAGATCCACCAATAGCGTGCTGGGTGATCAACCGAAACCGTTGAATACTGTTGAAGGATCAGAAATTATGTTCAATGTCCAAAGTACTGAAAACACATTGAAGAACAATTCTACTGACAGAGAGTGTGTGAAAGTCATCGAAAACAAAGATAATATTGATGTGAAGTTAGATTACACTGATGAATTTCCCCTCGACAAAATACTAACCGATCCATGTATCGCATTTGCGATACAAACTCTAACCGGTATCACATTCGAGACTCTTAAAGACGCTCAAACCTCTGCTTCAGCTGAAGAGCGCGGTAAGAAAATCAATGTCACAAACGATGATCCGAAAAAATTTGCTGTTGCTGAAATTGACAAGGCAGGACCATGTTCTGAAAAGAAACATGATATCTCAAAGAAGGCATTGTCAGGTGTGAAATTATGCAAAAGTGATTACAATTGCAGTCAAATCTTTGGTAAAAAAAGCAGGAATGTTTGTTAGAGAGAATTGCAGCCAAGGTTTGTAGTTATGAAACTTTGTAGTTAGCTACCTCATGAAGCCTTAAACTAACTCACTTTTTGTTGGTATTTTGGTGTGAAATCATGTAATATAGTCATGTGTATATTTTTGGATATGCTTTAAGGCTTCAATGTAGAACTGGTATCTTATTGTATCTTATTGTCTAATCTAAGTAGACTGGTGTAGAATCTTACCACTTTCATGCTTTGTCTAGCAAGACTTTGATTTCCTCTTCCAATATAATGGTAGGACATAGTACAAAATTATATGAATATTCAATCATATTTTGAAGTTGTGTTCCTATGACATATCAATTATGAAAATACTTGTACATATATTATGTTTTTATTGGGATATGAATTGAAGTCCTCAGAGTAATTTTCACACTATCAACAAGGTTGGCACAATTTTCTTTTGAGGAGAAAAGGCACATTGAATAATATAAATAATTGTTACAAAATATAAATTAAAGTTTGAATTTGAGTTGAGGCCAACATATCAAAAGTCTTGAACTTTATATATCAAACAAGTAGGAGTGTAAGAATCAAATTGTTTCAGACTGGGCCAAGTTTCTTCTGGGTTGTACTTTACACCAAAAGTCTACATTCAGAAGTTTTTAAATCCATTTTCTTATGGTTTTTTCTCATCCCACCTTATGAAACCTTTTAGAAATCTTTATAATTAACAAAAATGTCCTCTAGCAGATCTTAGAATCTAGAGACTGTTTTTTAGTCATCCTGATTCTAAAATTAAAAATTGTTGAATTCATGAAGAAATGCAATGAACTGAATACTCTATTAAAACAAATGAAATTCAGCATGCACATGTCGAACACAATTAAAAACATCAAATGAATATAAACATGATCACAAATTGTTGAATTTATTAAACTATATTGGTATTTTATGCTCTATCAGGTAAACATTCTACTAGTAATAACAAAATCAGATTAGATTTGTGTTCAGCTATATTTGGTAACATCTTGCTAGTAATAACAAGATCAGATTTTATTCAATATTGTAATTTTACAACTGTATAGGATCAGACACATGTATAATAGAGTTAGAAATTACAGTATTTTAGGCATGATTCTAGGAGCTAAACAAATGCCTCATCTTATATATAATGTGACCTATTTTTGAGAAATACAACATGGATCAGTCACTTCTACATGGTATCTAGAGCCTAACAATCCTAAGGCTTTGGAAAAAAAAACTAAAACTTCATGGAAGAAGAAAAAGATCTAAAGTCTTCTGTAACAGGAGATGATAATCTCAGAAGAAAAAGCCATCACCCTACGATCTCACCTCCAACGACAACCCTGGAAGGGTGATCACGCAAGTGCAGCTACGAGGTGAGAATTATCATGAATGGGCTAGAGCTGTGAAGACATCCTTAAGAGCAAGGAGAAAATGGGGGTTCATTGATGGAACCATAAAGAAACCTGAAGAAGAATCCTCTACGATGGAGGATTGGTGGACTGTTCAGGCCATGTTGGTGTCATGGATCTTGAATACAGTAGAACCTAGTCTATGAACAACCATGTCCTTTTTTGAAACCTCTACGGGGCTTTGGGACGACATAAAGGAGAGATTTTGTGTCGTGAATGGCCCGCGCGTTCAACAATTCAAATCAGAACTCGCTCAATGCAAACAAGGAGGTTTGTCCATGATGGCCTACTATGGAAAGTTGAAAGCTCTGTGGGATGACTTAGCAAACCATGAATATGCACTGACTTGCACTTGCAAGGGGTGCACATGTGGTATTGAAACAAAACTTGAAAAACACCGAGAAGAGGAACAATGTCACATTTTTTGATGGGCTTAGATGATGAGCTATATGGAATCGTGCGTTCCAATTTGCTGGCCACGACCCCATGCCATCTTTGAATAAGATGTATTCTATTTTGGTGCAAGAAAAACGAGTGTGATCTATCACACGAGGAAAAGAAGGAAGGACATAAGTTATGGCCTTGGCAGTTCAAGCGAATGCAAAGATGAAAGGGCATGAGATAAAGAACAAATATGTGTGTACGCAGTGCAATAGACCGGGTCATGATGAAGAATGATGCTTCCAGCTAATCGGATATCCAGAATGGTGGGCGTGTAACAGAAATGATGAAAAAACAGTAGGACGAGGAAGAGGCCAGAATCGTGTTGGAGGTACTGCATCTAACAGTGGACGTGCTCAAAGAGGACAGGCGCGTGCGCATGCCGTCCTCAACTTGGGATCTAGTGGTGGAGATATAGAGAACTCTGTCATGAGAGGATTGAGCAAAGAGTAGTGGAAAACTCTAGTAGAAATGTTGAACACCTCAAAAGTTACTTCAAATGAAAGCATGACCGGTAAGACTAAACTCAACACTTGGATCCTCGATAGTGGAGCATCTAATCATATGACAGGAATAATACAACACCTATGAGATGTGAAGGAATAATTGGTTGTCCCGTTGGACTTTCTAACAAAAAAACTGCAATGTCAACTAAGGAAGGAAAAATAAAGCTTGCTGATGATTTAATACTAAAAAATGTGCTTTACATTCCTCAGTTGAATTGCAATTTAATTTCTATATCACAATTTTCAGATGAATCCAATTGTAATGTTTATTTTACTGCTGATTTGTGTGCTATTTAGGACCGCACTTCGAAGATGCTGATTGGAGCGGGTGAACGGAAGGATGGACTCTACTTCTTCCAGGAGGATCAGAAAGTAAAGGCTAACAAGGTTGAAGGGTTAAATCAACTAGAAGTATGGCACAAACTCTTGGGTCATCCATCTTGGAAAACTACTATGTTAGTCTCATATTGTAATGCAAGTAGTGTTAGTGAGTTGAAAAATAAAGTTTGTGATACATGCCAAAGAGCTAAGCAAACTAGAGAAACATTTTCGTTGAGTAATAAACATGCTTCTAACATATTTTATTTGATACATTGTGATCTATGGAGAACATATGAACTCCCTCTTCTTGTGGTGCTTCATACTTTCTTATTATTGTCGATGATTGCTCACGTGCAGTTTGGATTTCTATACTTATTGATAAAAAGGAAGTGTCAAGGAGACTAACAATTTTTTTTCTATGGTGGAAAGGCAGTATAATAAGAAGGTCAAAATCGTAAGAAGCGATAATGAAATATAACTTATTTGCATGAAAAAATATTTTCTTGAAAATGGGATAATGTTCCAAACTTCTTGCACACGAATACCCCAACAAAATGGTAGAGTCGAAAGAAAGCATCAACATATTCTAAATGTGGTGCGGGCTTTGAGATTTCAAGGAAATTTGTCCATTGATTTTGGGGTGAATGTGTCTTGACAGCAGAGTACTTGATTAATCGAACTCCAAGCTCCATTTTAAAAGGAAAAATCCCAAATGAAATACTACATGGATAGGAACCGTGCTATACTCACTTGTGTGTTTTTGGTTCCTTGTGTTTTGCACAAAACCAATATACAAATGGAGATAAACTTGCGAATCGCAGCCGTCAGTGTGTTTTCGTTGGGTATCCTTATGGACAAAAAGGATGGAGAGTTTATGATCTTGAAAGCCATCAATTCTTTGTGTCACGAGACGTAATTTTCTTTGAAAATCAATTTCCATTTCACCAAATTGAAAAACAAAAAAATGATGTTGGAACAACTAGAACGACGTTGGAGCTCCCAATCACTGAAGAGAATGATATGAAAAATCAAAATAATGGTGGGGCCACCTATCAAAATGAGTCATCAATATAAATCATACATGACAACATAGGGGCTCCAGCTATAGAGGATGGTGAAGAAAGTACTGATGCAATACCATACCTCATACATATACAATCTCAAACTAGTCATAACGAAAATGAAAATGAATCTTTGGGGCGCAGTTGTTGTGTCAAGTATCTGTCCACTCAGTTGTAAGGCTACATCATAAACACAATTCATAAGTTGAGTCCTTTACCTCGCTCACCAGCTCAATCACATACTTCAGGTGCACCATATCCTATCACACATTATGTAAACTGTGAATTTTTTTGCCGCATAGACATTTTCTTGAAGTAATTAGTGCAGAAAAATAACTACTCTACTTTCATGAGGCAGTGAAAGATGTTTGTTGGAGAGACACAATGCACAATGAAATCGAAGCCCTTGAACAAAATCGTACTTGGAGTATATAAAAACTACTTCCTAATAAGAAAGCTCTTGGTTGCAAATGGATATACCGCATAAAGCACCATTCTGATGGTATAATTGAACGATTTAAAGCCCGATTAGTCATACTCTGCAATCACCAAGTGGAAGGGGTCAATTACACTGAAACGTTTGCATCAGTCACAAAAATGGTCACGGTACGCACTATCTTGGCAGTGGCAGCAACAAAAGCTTGGGAACTTCACCAGATGGATGGGCACAACTGTTGTAACCTAAAATTTTCCCTCTCTATTCTTAAGATATTTCATACAAAGGATCTCAAATGCTTAAGGATTCTCAAGGGTTTGATCAGACAAGCTCACCTCCTAAGGACTGAGCCTCCAAATTAGGGTTTTGATTTTCTCAAGGACAATTGGACTTTTGATGCCTCAAATTACTTTCATGGTTCATTATGTGTCTCTAAGATTTCTCATAACAAGTTTCAGGTCTTGCATCACAAATTTTCTCAGTTAATTGCTCAAATGACTGAAAATCATCTGTATTGGGTAAAAAGTCAACTATGGTCAATATAGTCAAACTTCATGATTTTTGGCCAGCATTAACATTTTGAATTGATATTTATCAAATGACCAAGGGTTTATCACAATGCCTCAATAAAAGTACTCAAATCATCAAAGGGACAAAATTGTCAAAATTAGGATTTTGATTGAGAATGAATGGTCATTGACTTTTGACCTAGTACATGACCTAATTGGTTGAAGCATGATCTAAAGGGTTCAAACATAACATCTTGACCTAATCTCATGGCTCAAACAATTTCTCAAAATCAATGGATTGATAGTTGAATTTTGGAT